GGGAAAACCAAAGCTACACATATCAGGAGCAGTAGTATTGTCCAGAGGATAATTCGCCAGCCAGTCAGCAACATAATTTCGTTCTCTATAAGTATGGACAAGTTGAATATGCCAATCTTTTTGGAACCAAGCCCGTATGCGAGTCACCAAGTGGGACTCACGAGCTGCAACACCTCTTCCTGCCAAGCCATCTGCAAACCTTTAAGTATACCCCACAGTTCGGCATTGAGAGCATTGCAATTTCCAATCCTGTAAGAGAAACCTTTGAGACAGTGACCCTCATGATTTCTGGCAATACCTCCACAAGCTGCTAAACCTTGAGTGCTCCTAGCAGCTCCATCAGTATTGAGCTTAATCCAATTCTCTTCTGGTGGTTTCCAACTAATGAAAATTTCAGCTCTGAGCTTGATTAATCTATTACAGGAAGTAGAATGAAAAGCCAATTTGTACTCTTCAGCTGTACTAATAATCGAATTCTTCTTATAGAAAAGAGAAGAAATAGGATTTCCAAAGACTAAGTCATTTCTCCATTTCCAAGCTAACCAGCAGGTAGTGCCAAACACAATACACCAGGGTATATTATTTGTAAACTTGTCCAAACAAGACAAATTTTTTTCCAGCCAACCATGAAGATCAGTAGTAAAAAATGAATTATGCAAACCAATTGGAACTAAGTCAGCCCAAAGCACTTTCATTTTCACACAGTCCCTAAGCAAATGCAAAGATGTTTCGGCCTCAACAAGACAGATTGGACAGTAAGCTTGGCCTAATTCAAAAGAACTCAGCCTAGCTTTTGTTGGCAGTCTATTATGAAGGACCTTCCACAAAAATAATCGGACAACTTGAGGACCCTCCCAACTCCAAATCTCTGAACTACCAGGAGTATCAGAAACATTACCTGTAAGAGTTTGATATATGGCTTTTACTAAAATCCGATCTGAATGGGCTAAGCTCCAACGCAAATAATCATCTCCATCTTGCTCATTTGGAGGTAAGATGCTCCAAATTGATAACACAATATCAGAAGGCAGCCACTGAGTGAGAGAATGAGTATCCCAGTTACCTTGATCATCAACATAATAAATAAGCTTTTTATTGCTTTCTTCCCATGGAATTGGAGCTGTAGATAGATCCATAAGCCTATTACCATCATGTGTCCATTTATCTTTCCAAAAAGAAATTGCTGTGCCATTCCCAATCTCCCAATTAAGGTGGGTTTCCAATTTTTTCCAGATTGCGCATATGTAATTCCACAATCTAGATTCACCATTGCTACACCATATTATTATTCTGTTTATATTGCCCTTATCTTTTGTAAAAATATATGATTATTGTAATGCCCCGTCTGCAGCCGGTTAACTAACATTTATATGATAGTAAGAGCAGCATACGCAACTTAATTATTGCGGAAGCTAACTAATTTTTTTTTTTCCTTTTTCCTTATGTATTGCAAACCTTTTTACTTCCATAGCCAAAATAAAACGGACAACATTTCCTTTGTATTTTGGACTACTGGGGATAATTCCCACTATGATAATTTCAACCTGATTGACAGTTTAATATAATCCAGACATATACCATATTACCCAGCCATCCATGACATAGGCTATCTTAATATCACACCGTCTCAAAATAATGTCCATGATGTTACTTATATAATTATATCAAATAAACAAAAGAGATGCAATTAAATAAGTAACATAGACCTGAACATGCATAACTAACAGAATATACACACTATCGACATGGCATAAACATCTCCTATGCTCTCAAAAAAATACTTGGCATGTACAACTCAAAATATGGTATGTCAGGTACAAATCTAATATCTATAAGACCCTGACAATCATGTCAAGTAATATCTCTCATCTGGCCTCTTGCCACGCGAAGCCTCAGCACCATCAGCTCCTGTACCTGAAATGGTGATCCCCATAACACGGGATGAGATAATATAATTACCTCAGTAAGCTAGGGACCCTTGGAGGGCTCCTCCACCCCTAAGCTCACTTTTGGTATAAACACAGTATAAAAATCCATGCATGCTTCAGAATATGTATGACAATGCAGCGTGCAATAATATAATCCTACTGGCCAGAGAATATAACAAGTATGCATTACGCAAGGAAACGCCGTCTTGCAACATACCGTATGAGGAAACACTGTCTCATACTATGCATAAGAAAACACCATCTTATGTCTCACACAAGGAAACACCGTCTTGTGTGACACACAAACATACATACATATACATGCAACATATAGCAAGTCATATCCACATACCATATAAAAGTACCATCCTCCCTCGAAGTCTGGTGGAACAAACGGGGGATTAACCCCAATGACCGAAAGCTTACCTGGCAAGCAGTGTCCTCCAATAATTCTCGTGTCCACAGAGTCACGATCTCTCACAAATTCACAACCTAGTTCCAAGATGTGAAGACAATTAGTATTCCTATATACCAGTCTACCATATTTAATTTTCAAGACTACACATACCAGAAACCTACACTTGATTTTTAGTCCAATTTATCAAAGTGTCCTAAACGGCCATTTCATAATTTGTCCTTTTACGGGAACCAATTCCAAGCATATTTAACAAAGGGACTCACCTACAAATCACCATTCAACTACTCATACCATTTAATCCCAATTTATACAACCCTATATCATGCATTTTCTCCAAAAACACAAGAGGGGAGTTAGGGCATTTACCTTAGAAGCTTTAAAGCACTAAGAGAAAGACAATCCAAGCTTCCAACAAGGTCACAACCCTTCCTCAAGCCTTAAATCCGAAAATGGCAGCCATGGGTTCTTCAAAATATGTTTCTTTCTCATCCAAATGTAGCTACCAAGTTGAATGGATGAGGAAGAGGAAGGAGAACAAGATGGAGAGAAGGAATGACACTGATCTCTTTGATTTCCTTAAAGATTTGCTTGGAATAATATGGAAGAAAAGAAAAAGCAAAAAAAAAACTTCTTCGCTCACACAGAGACCATCGCACGAGAGAGAAAGAAAAGAATGAAGGAGATGAAGTGGTTCGGGGCTTTAAGTGACTTTTATAATTAACTGGGTATAAGTTTATCTATCTCGCTCACTAACTCTCATTCTAAATTTAACCATTAGTCCAGAATATTTTTATGGTAATATTTATTATTTTACTTTTCACTTTATGGTAAGTTTATTTACTCGTATTTTTACTCATTAATTGTCATTTTAACTTCTTTTTCATCAAAAGTGACTTTATTTCTTTTTCTTCTATTTTTTTTATAATTATTCTTCAATTTCATGATTAAAATAATTACTTCATAATTAAATCCAACACTGCATGTGGGGTTATTGTAATGATAAATGAAAGAGTTTTCGGAATTTCGTTAGGGCTAAAACACCCTGCTATTTTTAAAAATGTTTTATTTTACAACTATTAACATAGAAATTAATTTCTCATTATGTTATGTTTTTTTAGTAGTTAAGTATGGCATTTTTAAATTACTATCATTTAAATCAATTTTATAGTAATACTTTCAGGGCTGAGGCCAATCATCATTTTGGTGAACTATCGCCTAGACATTTATGGGTCCTGGTCCATAGGCCAGCATTGCTTTAAATGTAGATAGTTTAACTGTGATGTTTTCTTTTCTTATTTTTTGAAGAGCATGACGTACGGTAGAAACAAAAAAAATTGTTCTCCTGTTTTTTTAATAGATAATCAAGTATTCTCACACAACCTCCTCCAGTCATTTTATTTTTAGAGTATGGTCTCTAAAACTAGCTTCTTATTGGAACAAAAGATGTATTAGACTATTGTCACTAGAGTAAGTGTGAGATTTTTTATCTCCCTTTGAGGTAGAGGCAACTTCCTTCTGACTCTCAAAGAATTTCAAGAATTTACTTTGGCGAAGGTTTGAATCTCAAATCCTTGACATTCAGTTCAGCTACCCTGGGAGTTATTTGTTCTCATGTTTTTACCTGCTCTTCAACTTTATTTATTATGGATCTGGATCTTCTCATGTGAAAAAAAAATAATATGATTATCTGAGGAATCATAATCATATAAAAATAGATCAATGATAATAAAAGAAAAGAAAGAAAAAATATTAAAATAAGTAGTTATAAAATTATAACTGTTGATTCACCTTTATATAATTGAGATATTTCCACATAACCGTGTCATTTTTTTTTTTTCACATTAAAGTATCCATATCCATTTATTATAGAATAATAAAATAACTCAATTCTGTTGGTATCTTTAACAAAAGTAGAACGGGGAGTTACGAAACACACTGGTTATCATAGTTTTCTTAGCAGACAAGTTTGTAAATAACTTTCGACTAAGTAGTTAATTAAGACTCAAGTATTTTCGTTTGTAATTGATACAACTGGTTAAATGTATGGTTTAACCATAATTAAACTAAATAAAGTTTTAACCAGAGACATAGTTGATTTACGTTTCGTTCAGTTCAACTGGATAGTGCGATCCACTTTTTGAAACATTTGCTCATAGCATGCATGAATTTTAATGAATAATAGTACAAGCATAAAACACTAATAAATTATATATAGATATTTATACACTGACAGGCCGAAAAAAAAAAAAGGAACAAACATGAAATAAGAGTACACCTGAAAATCCAAATTATAAAATTTCAACATTTCAAATAAAAATTAGAGTAAATATCTTTTTGGTCCTCAGCAAATTTTTCGATATCCGTTTTAGTCCCTAGCAAATAAAAAGGCCCATCGTGGTCTCTAAAAAATTCAAAATGGATCCATTTTACTCATTTTGAGGACTAATATGGGTCTTTTTTGAATTTGTGAGGTATACGATTTCAACTAAATGAGTCCATTTTGAATTTCTTAGAACCACGATGGACCTTTTTAATTGCTAGAGACTAAAGAGGACATCAGAAATTTGCTGAGAAACAAAAAAGATATTTACTCTAAAAATTATACGTAGAAGGCGAACACAACAAATCATATATTTTGAGCTGAGATCTCCTGATCACATGCTTCTTTTTGTCAGCATAATCTTCAAGCCATGTTTCATATGCAGGACAACGGAAACACCAGGGATTATAGGATGGCCTTCCATCACATGGATGTGATAGTTCAACAACAAAGCAACAGCAACAGTCTTCATCTGAGTGAAGCTTATATTCTTACCCAAACAACTTCTTGGTCCAGCGTTGAAAGCAATGAACTTGTAAGAGGGTACATGAATAATCTCTCCTCTATTAGAAATCCATCTCTCTGGTCTAAATTTCAAGCAATCTTCTCCCCATATTTCCTCTACCCTCCCCATTGAGTACAGGGAGTACGTTATCATGGTATTTGAATTAATCCTATGACCACTAGGAAGAATATCAGATTTTAATGCACATTTGTGCTCAAAAGGTATTGGAGGATAAAGCCTTAAGGCTTCACTTATAGCTGCATGAAGATAAACTAACCTGTTAAGACTTTCCACACCTAAATCCTTCCAATCACCTTCTGTTTCTGGTAAATTTTCTCTGATCTCTTCAAGAATCTTAGCTTCCACAAATGGGTGTGTTGAGACGAGCCAGAAAAACCAAGAGAGGCCTGCACTAATTGTGTCTCTTCCAGCTGCAAGGAGATTCACTGCTGTGTCTCTAAGAAACTTGTCATCAATTTTTCCCTTTCCTATTTCATTCGCAAGAGCATTTAGCAAGTTCAACCCTGACTCATCAGCCAGGGTACTACTACCAGTACCACCGCCAAGCATTTTGCGTTTGGATATGATTTCTTCATATAACATTTTGTCAATAATTTTCTGGCTTTCTTTGAGCTTCTTTTCTTTCCCAACTTGAAGCCATTTCAGTAGCTTCCATAAGCATCTTGGCATGATATGTCTGTATAACAGTGCATCCTCTGCTTCATTGAAGGCTTTCTCACATGCAACATTTGGGAATTCAATTGAAAGGCAATTAGGATCGAATCCTAAAACCAAGGAGCAGATGTTGTCGAAGGTTAACCTTTGAAAAACATCTTGTAAATCCACCTGCATTCCTTCTTTCCATGCATGATCGAGAACTGGAAGTAGAGAATGCTCGACCTTTTTCTGAATGGTTTTGTAAATAAAAAACTGAAAACTTGGCTGCTTAAAAATTGAATGAAGTATAGTTCTGTTATACTTCCACAACTCGGAATCAGACCTGAAAATCCCATCTCCCAGGATTTCAAAAATGTCTCTAAAATCATTCCCTTTACCATAGTTTTCAAACTTTGTGGTTGTGATGTGTTGCACGTTCATCGGGTCGCTGGTCACAAAAAAGTTCATGTTTGTTAGCCATGGTCCTTCAAACATGAAATTACCACCATGATGTTTCAGAACTGAATTGGCATAATCATGGATGGTGGACGCGTTGAGCAAGACACTAGGTAGCATTCCAAGAATGGGCCATTTAGTGATGGGTGTGTGTCTGTTGAGCCACCAGAAATGGATTAAAACAAAAAGAAGAACCGCCACAAGGAATTCTTCAATCCCAAGCACGGCCATTATTGTGACTTTATTAAGGTTTTCTTCGTACTTCAAGGATGTCTACTAAGAGATGGTTTTTTCAACAAGGCAATGGTGTTGAGTGTTGTTAGCAAGCAACGAAGCTATTTATAAGTGATTTCCCATGGCCTAACAAAATATACATATTTCCCACTCGGATAAAAAAAAAAGTGAAGTCTTGAAGTTGAGTCCGTAACAACATAATTTTTTATTGTATGGGTCCATTAATTAGTTGCATCGTACAATGTCTTCAAAAAGTATTGGAAGTTGGAATCTTTTGATTTGGATATCAATATTCTAATTATTTTAACAAATTTTATTGAAAATATTAAAATAAAGGGAATTTATTGAAATGTGTAACTTTCTTGTCTTATTATTTAAAAAGGAAAAAGTGTAAGAATAATGTAAAAAAAATTATCACTAAATAAGTAGGGAAAAATGTTTCTCCAGCGTAAAATTATTTCTTACAATTTCAAAAAGATATCATTTTGGGTTTTGGGGAATAGAATGTTTTGACACTTTTACTTGTTGAACTCTAAAGATTTGAAGTGTTAAACATCTTATTTTTTTATGATAACAAAGCACAAGTGTTGCGTAAAATTGGCAAGTGCACCGATCGTACCAAGTAATAAAAAGTGAATAAGATATCGTCCTACGAGGATTGAGGCACCAAATTTAATTTTAACTATCCCTTTCTTAATTGGATGAACAAAAGAGGTTTTTGAAGTAATTGTACCGTGACAATTGTGAACCGTTCAATATTTCGTGAACAATTCAGAGAGAAATTTGAAGAAATTAAAATCAAAGAATGAGATTTGAGAAAAATATTTAAAGAAAAACTATTGCAGTAAAGGACGCAACACATTTCCGATCCCCACCTTGTAATATTGATTAATATTTATATTTAATTACCCAATTGACCAAATAATTCACCATATATAATTAATGAGTCAAGCCCTAATCCCTTAGTGATCTTAACCTTATTAACTCTATTAGAATCCTAATCTCTTAGAAATCCCTTTTCAAGTTAATCCTTAAGCCCAGTGAATTTTTCACATTTGCAGTTCATGTAGCCTATCCCTAGTGCATACATGAACAGTTATCTTACCCTTTGTCAGGAATTAGAATCCCAATATCCCTATTGTGAACCCTAACCCTCGCAATCCTAATAGAGTCGCGAATTCTAAAAGAATAATGGAATGAAAAACAGAGTAAAATAAATTCAATTGAATAATTAACCATAAACTTAACCAAAATACAAGGGGTTCACATCAAGGGTTGTGACCCTTACCACAATATAAAAAAACTAGCCAGACATATTCATGTATGACAAAACAAAGTATTCAAAAGAATTCATAAAAACTAGAAATAACCGGAAAGAATGAAAGAAGAAATCTTGATCGGCAGTCACCGAAGGCTTGCTCCGATTCCTGTCACTCCGTGCAAAAGTGTCTTTTTCTCTTGAGGTCTGAGTCTCTATTTATAGAGTCTTTGACCTAGTGGAGAAGCTTGATCTAATTTTTTTTCCGCATCTCACTGTAATCTTGTCTCTGATTTGAAAAGGATTTAATGTTGATTTGTCCGCACCTCCCACGCCACTAGCGTGGTTCCCACGCTGTGAGCGTGGGAGTTTTTCTTCAATATCCTGGAGCACCACACAACTGGCGTGGCTGCCACGCTGCAAGCGTGGATTGTGAAAAAAAGCTAGCGCTACTAGCGTCAATCCCACGCTAGTAGCGTGGTAGCTTCTGCCTGTTTTTGGACCTCTAGCGCTACTAGCGCGAGTCCCACGCTAGTAGCGTGGTTGTCTTTGTGTGAAAAGGCTTTCTTCACGCTATGGGCGTCATACCCACGCTGTGAGCGTGGGCCTTCAGTTTAGTTTTTCCTCTTTAGCTCCAATTTGTCTATTTTTCCTATGAAATCAACATAAAATCAGTATGCAATCTCTGATTAAGAATTTGACAGATCAACAGTGATTATTGCCATTTTCCCTTAAGATTTAATCACATTCTTTCTCTTTTTGTTTAGATTTCCTTATATGCTGAGCGCATATCAAACAATTCCCAGATTTGACCTTTGCTGTCCTCAGCAATGTAATAGATTCAAGTTATCAGCAAAGAATAATTCAGTGAAAACATGAAACATAATATCTTAAGAATTCAGACTGCTATGCATGTATAACTCTTTGTTAAAAACTCCCAGTAATGCTTTTCAGTTATATCAAGAATTTGAACTCCAGCTTGCATATTCCTCATCAGTTTAAATGTACTCTCATCACACTTAGTGTTTAAGGGTTTCACACTTATCCATCAGTGTAGTAGGAATTCCATAGGCTTGAACTTATTCTCAATTCCTAAGAATGAGGAATCCATTTGACATGCATAGACTGATCAAAAGGTCTTTGATAGGTTGTAACTTGGCCTGGTTTGGGGGTGAGAATCTTTTGGTCAGAAGCTGATTGGAGAGATTGAAATACTGATTTTAACAATACTTCCTTCTCTTCTAGGCTTTGCCTCATTTACAAACTTGGGATTCTTTCCCTTTCTTCACTACCTTTTCTTTCCTTGGTTGCAGATGTTTTTTTTTTCTTTCTTTTCAGAATTTTTGCCATATTTTGCAAGCCAGTCTTTTGTTTCCCTTTTCAACTTCTTATCTTTTCCTTGTTTATCTACTGAACTTTTCCTTTTTGAGAAGTAATTTGACTTTTCTTCTTTGATCAGCATTCAATCTCTCAAGGTGTGTCAAGAGGAACAGGATTAAGCAATTTTCATCAGGTTTGAATGAATTGGTTTAAGGCTCAAATGGGGCTTAACAATGGAAATTCTTATGGGTAGGCTGTTTGGCTCTAAGTTATCAAGAATAAAAATGCCCTTATCATTTCAGTCATGCATGCAAGCCAGAGAAACAGTTCAAGTTCTAGAAACTACTACAGTGAGGCCTCTCAAAAAGAAAATTTTTTGTTTAGGCTCAAATCCTCATAGTTATAATTCAACTAGAATCGCAATTCAAAGTTTCACATCAAGCATTATCAAAAAATTTCAACAAAACAGTTATAAAAACGAGCCGTCATCATTCTCAGATTAAAACAATTAATTGCTAACAGATATAATGCTTCATCCAACTCAATCTAATTATTTCCTGAGTAAGCTTAGAACATTCTGGAACTGCTTGTTTAGGAATTCTAAAAGTTTTCTTTTTTTTTCTTTAAAAATTGAATCTAACTAAAAACAGCAAATAAAAAAAATAAAAAAATTGAAGGTTAAAAATATCTCCTTTTTTTCAGAAAATTTTCTGTTAGACGTTCTTTCCGTGGTGTAGTTTCGCAGTATTTAGCAAGTCTCGCATACAGCATGCCATGCGACAATTACCAGATTTAGAACGTTGCTGTCCTCAGCAACAACTATACTGGTCGAAGAAGCTAATTCTGCCAGGTGGAACACACACACACACACTTGTTAAACAGTAAAACAGAATAATCATCAAAGTGTACTGCATAAAGAGAAATAATTCAACCAACTAATCCAACAAAATAAAGTGCCAAAGTAAATGTCACGGTGAAGTGAACTGGCGCTCACAACGTAGGTTTCACGCTGTGAGCGTGGAACCTACTGCCATTTTTTTTCTTTCTGGCACTCTTAGCGTGGTTCCCACGCTGTGAGCGTGGGACTTTCGGGAGCTTTGGGTCCTTTGACGCTGAGAGCGCAGTTCCCACGCTAAGAGTGCCAAATTGGCGCTGACGGCGCCAATTCCCAGATTAAAATTTTTCCACATGGTCACTAATTCACCACTTACTTGACTTATTTAAAAATTAAACTAACCTAAGCAAATAAAATAAATGAAATAAAAACAGAAAAACAACTATTGGGTTGCCTCCCAATTAGCGCTTGTTTAACGTCACGAGCCTGACGTACCCGTTGTGATTTATGGTGGTTGGAAGCATGCTACCATTGTTGACCCAATCTTCTTGATCCAGTATTGTTTCCTTCCATGAGCATATGCATATGGATGAGGATGAGGTTTCTCAGGAACTTTGAACTTAGTCTTCACATGTTTTTCCTTACTCTTGGGCTTTTCCATCTTAACCTTTGGCTTGCTTTCTTGATGCTGCTGATGGACTTCCTTATTGATGATAACAGGATATTGTTCTTCGTCTCCCAAGAAAGCATACTTAAGAGTTTCAGGAAACTCTTTTAATTCCACCTTTGGTACCAATGTAGCTGAGTCATCTTCTTTCTTTTCTAGCACCTCAAAGACAGTTGCTCGCTCTTCTTCTGGAGCAGCTTCATCTAGAGCCTTCAACTCTTCTTCAAGCTCTTGAAGCTCACTTTTCTCTTCCATAGCCACCTCTTTAACTGCTTCCTCAACCACATCAAGTCTGAAGCAATCACTGTGGTCAGATAAGTTCTTCATAGCTTTAAACACATTGATTGTGATTTTCTCATCATTCATCCTCAACTCGAGCTTTCCTTGTTCTACATCAATCATAGCTCGAGCTGTGGCCAAGAACGGTCTACCCAACAGAAGGGGCATTGCACTCTCTTCCTCCATGTCTAGCACAATGAAATCAGCAGGGAAGATAAACTTGTCAACTTTGACAAGGAAATCCTCTAGTATCCCATTGGGTCTCCTTGTTGAACGGTCAGCTAATGGTAAAGAGACCATGGTTGGCTTCAGTTCAGAAATTCCCAATTTTTCGCATATTGACAGCGGCATCAAGTTGATGCTTGCTCCAAGGTCGCATAATGCCCGGCCAACATTGGTGTTGCCTATCGCAATCAAGATGTTGAAACTTCCCGGATCTGAAGCTTTGGTGGGAACTTCTTCTGAATGATGGCACTGCACTCTTCAGTAAGTGCTACTGTCTCACAATCCTGCAACTTATGCTTTCTAGACAATAAATCTTTCATGAATTTAGCATAGTTAGGCATGCTAGCAAGAGCTTCAGCAAATGGAATATTAATATGCAATTTTTTAAACATATCTAAAAACCTGGCATACTG